GAGAAAAGAGGGATGAGGAAGCAGAGAGGCTAGAAATAATGCTTTGGAAGACATTTAAATAAAGGTCAAAGTTGAATCCTTTGGAATGGATGATATCAAAATTAAAATCTCTAAATTGGATGGGACTTTAAAAGATCATCTGGCTCAACTTTCTACCTAATATATGAACCCTTTTTACATGGGGTCTTTCGGCTTCCACTTGAAAGCCTTCAATAATGAAGAATAGACTTCTTCAAAAGCAGATTACTGCTATAAAACAACTGTAATTGCTTTAGAAAAAAATTCTTTCTTGTAGTGAACAGAATCCTGCCTCTGTTCAATTACTTTACAGGAATAATAGAGTAAATAATTCTAGTCGCAGAAAAGTATTACAAAGGGAGAAAGTGCGGGGAAAAGAGGGCTAATGAGAGCTCAGAGCAGGGGGTAGAGCAAATACATTTAAGAGGAAAGGAGGAGCCCTGGCCGCTTTGGCTCAGCGGTTAGAGCACTGGCCCACAGACCAAAGCATCTTGGGTTCCTTTGCGGTCAAGGGCACATACTCAAGGGCGCATACCAGAGGAAGCCAATAGATGTGTCTCTCTCACATCCATGTTTCTCTCTCTCTCTTTCTGACCCCTCTTACTCTATCTGAAGATGAATGAAAAAATACCCCTGGTGAGGATTAAAAAAAAAAAAGAGGAAAGGAGGAAAGCTAGCAGAAATACCATCCTTACAAGAGCCAAAGGAAAAGTGTCCAGGAGGGAAGGGTGAATGGCAGTGTCAACATGCTGCAGAGAGAGAGGTAAAGGAAGTTACTAACTTCAAAAAGGATACTGGATTTGAATAAATTTAGCACAGTGGTTGGGACAGAAGCCATACCACAAGAGGTTAAGTAAGCGATGAAGTAATAAAGGCAACAAGATCGACATCTCCTTGATGGTGAAAGAAAAGAGACTTAGAGTTGACCAAGAATATTTTAGGCCATGGGAAATCTGAGCATATTTGTAGGCAAACAGCAAGAAACCAACCAAAGTATGAGATTAAAAAGGAACAAGAAAAAGTGGTGGAGACAGGAGACGAGGGGGGGGGGGGGGTTAGATACACATGGGAATGGGTTGGGATCAAGGGGAGGGATGGAGGCAGAAAGAAAGAGACAGACTAATCACACCCAGGAACTATGACGTACCTGGGACTATGCCCCACCTTGAGAAAGACAGGACTTTGTCAGGCAACAGTGAAGAAATAAGCAAGCTAATCCAGAAAAGTTGCCTTGGAGGAGCCGGGGAATCAACTGGAATTTGGGCAAACCTGGACTGCCTGTCTCCCACTACTAATTCTAAAGTTTCTGTTATGTCCTAAAATCAAGAGTGCATTGAAAATATGTTATCAAATATATTATCAATTAAAGAAGATTGACAGGAGAGAAGGAACCAATGGAAAGACAGTAAGCAGAATTACACTAATATCTGACTAAAAACAGTTCATAATTGCTTTTTCATTTAGATTATTTTGTTGGGTCTTCCTAACAACATAGTAAGAAACACATTTCTAAATGAATCAGTGAATAAATGAATCAAAGATCCTCATTGTGTGGATAAATAAATAGGTTCAAAAGTAATCAGTTTCAAGACCATTTAACTAGTTAACTGTGAAGATGGTATTTGCATTCAGATTTTCTGATTTTAAAGTCCATGCCTCTGTCTCTACACTAAACTGCCTCTCCAAAAATTAAAATTAAAAAAATAATTATTTTACTTATAACTACTGCTTCCCATACCTTTCAGTGCTTTCTTCTTCTTTTCCTCCTTATCAGACCAATTACTAACCCAGTAACAATTATTTATACTAATAATTATCATTTATGTCCATCTTATGTTAAAAATAAATATAGCAGTAATTAACATCTGATTGTGATACAAATTTTTTAAGACTCAATATTTTTAGTTTCAAATAATTTTATAAAACTGGGAGTGCTAGAAAAATCATTCTTTACTGTACACTAAACATTTTCATCAGTATAATTTAACACGTTTTCTTAGCAAAGGGATAATTCTTATGCTGCAATGTGGGATAAATATGGTACTAGGGGCCATCATTTTAGCAATTTCAACAGGAAATGTGTTCGGAATTCTAAATAAATAACATTAATGAACTTTTATAACATCTATTTGTAATTTGAGAAGATATGGATAAAGTGGGAAATATTTTTACACTGGAGCTGGATGGAGGTAGCATTTTTTGATATAATGGATTTAAGTTTAGTAAAGAAGAAAAATTCAATACTCAATGCAATTTTTTTTTTAAAGGAAACAAAAAATGGCAAACTTGATTCCCCCAAATTTAGAAGTACTGATATATGCAAGGGGGAAAAAAGCATACTATAATGTCCTACCAAACACTGATTTAATTGAAATCAATAGAGATTTTTTAATCATAGAAATTTAAAATAGCTCATATTCTAAGAAGCACATCCCACAACACTTTTGGAATTTTAAGAGCCAATTTCTAGAAAGTGGTATAAATAAGCTTCTTTCATATAGCATACACAAAACAATAAGCTCATACAATATTTAGTTATAAGATTTATCACCTGACAAAATCTAGTTTAATCACAATTTTTAAAAGTACTTAAATTTTTTGCTTCGTGGTTAGAGCATTGGCCCACGGACCAATGAGTCTCGGGTTTGATTCTGATCAAGGGCAGGTACCTGGGTTTCGAGTTTGATCCCCGGCCCCAGTTGGGGTGGTGCGGGAAGGCAACCAATTGATGTGTCTCTCTCACACTGATGTTTCTCTCTCTCTCACTTCTTCCCTTCCACTCTATCTAAAAATCAATGGAAAAATATCCTCTGGTAAGAATTAACCAAAAACAAAAAGAAAAATTAGCCTGCTATATTTGATCAGGTTAATTTGGTGAAGGGTGTCCTGTTAGCCAGTATCAATTTTGAGGGCCTTATGTAGCCCTTGGGCCGGCTGTTCCCCATCCTTGGGTTAGAGTGTCGGCCCACAGACCAGAGTCCAGGGTTCAAATCCCAGTTAAGGGCACCTGCTGTACCTCTACTGCAGGTTCAATTCCTGGACCCCATGTGGGAGGCAACTAATCAATGTGTATCTCTCCCACCGATGTTTCTCTCTCTCCCTTCGTCCTTCCCACTGTATCCTTTCAATAGAAAAATATCCTCGGGTAGGATTAAAAAAAAAAAAAGTGATATTTCATGTGTGACATCCTTATCAGGAATAAATTTTTCATAAATATCCTCAAAAACAATATATGTATGTATTTTAAATCTAGATATTATTCAAAATAAAAGCAATGTCTTTTTTCCCCAAGCACTCATCAGACTTAATACACTAAATTATTATCGTAATAGAGCAGTCACTGAAATTAACAGTCATGGGCCTAGAAATGATTGATAAACTGTACTGTGACAAAACTCTGTCGATAGCATGTAAAAAATTCAATGAAAACCAAATATAACTTGGATGCTTTATTTTACTCCTTTGCGTCATTAATGACTATATTACTCATGATGTTTTTGTCAAAGTGAATCAGATTAGAACACTAATATTTTGTTTTGTCTTGGTCAAAGATTAGCAAATACATCCTAAAATCACTCATTCAGAGTAATTGAAGAATACATATGTCTTAAATACGTAAACCATTACACACATTAAAATGCCTACAAAATGAGTAAATTTAAAATAAAATCTATATAATCTACCCTACCATGAATTAGTTGCTACAAGAAACTGGATATGGCCCAGCCAGTGTGGCTCAGTGGATTAAGCATTGTCCCATGGACTGAGACATTCCCGGTCCATTTCCGGTCCATTCCCGGTCAGGGCACATGCCCAGGTTTCAGGCTCAATTCCCAGTAGGGGACGTGCAGAAGGCAGCCGACAGCTGTTTCTCTCTCACATAAATGTTTCTCTCTCTCTCTCTCCCTTCCTCTCTCTCTAAAAAAATCAATAAAAACATTTTAAAAATTGTATATGTATTAATATATTCATAAGAACAAAAATGAGAGTTGGATTATCCACTATTTTGGGCTATCCCTCTTTCCAGAATAGAAATAATCTAGTGTTAACAGTCTATCTTTTATTTTATATCTAGGTCCCTAAAGGGCAGAGTCTTCAAATAATCTAACAAGTACTCTATGAATGTTAAGTAACAACATGATGCTTCCAAGGAATTTTCTTTTTAGAGAAAATAAAGCAAAAAGCTAGAAACTCATCTTCAATGAGTGAGAAAGGGGTTCAGAAATAAAAATATTACATGTTAGCTTAAGGTATAAAGTCAGTAACTATGAAGTTCATTACTACTATAACTCCAAACCAACAACAAATTAGTATTTTAAGTAATCGCTGCTTGACATTACCTCTACACTCCTCCCCACTATTTGGGTCTCTTAGCCCATTTCTGCCTTACTAGCTTTACAACTTAGTTTGGATCCCATGGTCAGTTATTTCAGCAGTCTCTCTTATATCTTCAATTATCTCCTCCCTGATGCATCTTCAATACAATCTGTCTTTGCTTTGTTCCTGGATGCATAACACTGCCAGAGAAAACTTATGTAAATCGTGCAACTTATAAATTTATACATTCCAATCTCAGATGAAGCCCTGCTCAGCAGTCCTTTCACTTATTTATTGTGAAACCTTTCTCTTTCCCAGTTCCCATGGTATTTATATAAACTGTCAGCACTTTCATGTCCTCTAGCTTACCTTCATCAATCCCGTGCTTAAAAAGTAAACTTTTTACTTCATACCCTCCACCCCAAAATGTTCTCAGATACGACTTCTTCCCTTCATAACCAAACATACCTAATTCTCACTTACAACTTCTAACTTTCTAAAGTACAGTACAGGTGTCTACTTTTTTCCAGTGTTAATCCCCCAACCAGCTATTAATTATTCCCTTACTCCTATCTTGAATCTCATTGGCTCATCAAAAAAAAAGTTCAACTACTAAATTAAAGTTCTTTCCCTCAACCCTATCTCCTTAAGCTACTTCTTCTTACCTCCTCTTCATTGGTAAACTTCTATTCTCTCTTTGGTCTACCTCCTTAGCAATGTCTTCCATCTCCAGCACTCACTTGGCTCTGGAAAAGGCAAAGAATGGCCTGATTTTTAAATTCAATTGCTTATATTCAGTCTTTATCTAACCTGACCTCACTGCCCTCAAAAGTTGATGAAAATAATAAATGTAGATGAAATGAAATAATTAGAAAATCACCATTTGTATTCATCCAATGCAATAAATGATTCAAGCAAGGTCCATTAATGGATGCTAAAACTACTGGTTTAAAGGGCTGTTAGAAACAGGATACACAAAGTATCATCCTATGAATTATTTAATTAAACAGTTGGGAGTTCTATCAGTTCCCACCTTTATCAAGTGATCAAGCTGGAATCATCAACAAACAGCCTTACATTATGTGCCTCTTGAGGTGATCAAATGGTATACATATCATCTGTGTGGTATTCTTGCCAGAAATATCTGACCAGAATCTACTCATGAAGAAACAGATTAATTCAGAATATGTAATATACATGAGAATACATGCCTTTACTTTTCAAAAGATAAACCAAAAAAGAGAGGGAGGCAGTGGGACTAGTCCAGATTGAGGGAGACTAAAGAGACATACCAATCAAATGTGTGAACCTTGATTGAATCTTGTATTAGAGGGGAGAAAAAGCCATAAAGAATTTTGAGACAAATGACATTTTTAAGTATGGATATATGTTGAATTATGTTGTTGAGCAATTGCTGTTATTTTTAGGTGTCATATGGTATTGTGACTGTGTAAGAAAATGTCCCTACAGTGGGAAGATGCATAATTACGCATTTAAGGGTGAAGCATCATATCTACATCCTGTTTTCAGGTTTAGCAAAAGTAAAATGCGTTGGGGGGGGCTGTCTTCACTCTACTATCCTTTTGACTTTTTTGTGGGTTTAAAGTTTTTCAATAATAATAATAACAACAACAAACCAATGAAAGTTTACCAAGAACTGTAGATATGTAGAAACGAGACAGACAACTGAACGGGGGGACCAGCACAAGAACACTCCAGAAATAGGAAAGAATATGTGCAAAGGCTTGGAGGGAAGAAAAAGCTTACTTTCAGAAACTGTCAGTCAATATTTCTGAAAAAATTATATATTTGGGGGAAGGAAGGAGTTGTGGAGAGTCTTTAGGCTACAGATATGAAAAAAAAAATAAATGAATTTATAAATCTGTTAAAGGAATAAGGAATATGGATTTCATCTTGAGAATAAAAGTCACAGAAGTAATTTAATTGCCCTTTAGAAAGATCACTGATTGTGGCACAGAGAATGTAGAGAAGTCTAAGACTAGAAGAGACCAGATAGTAAACTTGTAATAATCAAGGTGACAGATGAGTGTTGCCTGAGCTCAGATAATGGTAGAAAAGATGGGGAAAAAACTAGACAGATTCCAGATCTTTCTGCAGTCCTAACCTCTTTTCAGTGTCTCACACCCAAATTTGTAACTGCCTACTGGGCATTTTCCCTTAAAAGTCTCACAGATACCTAGAATTCAATACATCCAAAACTTAAACCCTGCCAAAAATGTATTCCTTCTCTAGCTAATTAATGGCAACATCATTTATGTAATTTCCCAAGCTGGAAACCCTAGAGCCTCTTGACTCTCTAACCTCTCTACATTCATCAATTTCTATATTAACTTGGACTATCCTATGGATTCTACCTCCAAAATTCATTACAAATCCATGTCTTGTTCTCTATTCCAACTGCCACTGCTCTAGTTCAGAATTTTACTTGCAGATTAGACTATTGTCAGAGTCTCCTACCAAAAGTCTTTCTTTGCCTCCTAACCCCACTCAACTTCAGAATCATCTTTCTAAAATTCAGATCTGATTAGATCACTCTCTTTAAGTATTCTTTGGTAGTGGTATATATCGAGTCAATCAAGTCTAAAAACTCTTCACAACCTGAACCCAATCTATCCTTCAAGTTTAGCTAAGGTGAAAGAAAAGAAAAAAAAACAAAACAAACAAAAAAATAGGGCATGAACTTTCTTGACATAATTATTTTGATTTTCAAATTTTACTTTATTCACTCCAGAGGGGGGGAAAAACCCTCATAAAATATGATGCATCACCACAATATTCATACACAAACACCCAGTCTCTGAACTTCAATCAAAAAGCCAACTATTTGAATATAAAATTCTCCAAATTGGTGGCTTTTTTTTGCCCTGAAAACTTCCCTCCACTTTCCATATTTCAATTTAAAAAATTTTTTTTCCCTTTATTTATTTTCGAAAGAGAGGAAGGGAGAGGGAGAAAGAGATAGAAACATCAATGAGAGAGAACATCAATTGGCCGCCTCCTACCTGTCCCCCACTGAAAATTGGGCCCACAATCTGGGCATGTGCCCTGACAGGGAATAGAACCAGCGACCTCTTGGTTCATAGGGCGGTGCTCAACCACTGAGCCACACCAGCCGGGCTCCATATTCCAATTTTTTAAGTTCACCATATTTTTATTTATTCACTTGTATTGATTTTAGAGAGAGAGAGAGATGTGAGAGAAATAAATGGGTCGGTTGCCTCCTATAGGCGCCAGGTCCAGGGATCAAACCCGCAACATAGGTATGTGCTCTGACCAAGAATCGAACCCACAACCTTCCGGTGCACAGGACAGAAGACATTCCAACCAACTGAGCCACACTGGCCAGGGCAAGTTCACCACATGACTTATTCTGAATATTGTTTCTAACTATTCTACCCTCCTGCTACCCGAGAAAAATCTCACTGAATAGCTCCAGTTCTGTTTACCTGCAGTCTTACTTTTGTATGATTGTAAAAATTGACCAGTTAACAAAATTGTAAGAGATAACATTTTCCTCCATTCATTTCATGTATTTTGGTTCATTTAACTTTAAACTCTACAGAACAGCCCTGGCCAGTTTGGCTCAGCGGTTAGAGCGTCGGCCTGTAGTCCGGAGAGACCCGGGTTCGGTTCCTGCTAAGGGCACGTACCTCAGTTGCAGTTTGTCCTGGGTCCTGGTTGAGTCGTGTGGGTGGCAACCACTCGATGTGTCCCTTTCACATCAATGTTTCTCTCTCTCTCTCTCCCTCCCACTCTATCTGAACAAAATATAGAAAAATGTTCGCAGGTGAGGATAAAAATAAATAAATAAATAAACTTACAGAACAAACTATGGACTACTGGACATGTCAAAAAATTGAAGTATCTCTTTTTGTGTAAAAAGATGTTGAAAAATAGTAGAAAAAGAAGCAAATCTAGAAAAATTTATAAATAGAGGGTAGGGTTAGAACCCTTATTTGTTCAGGTAAATCTTCATATTTGAAGAGCACTTACAAGTGGTAGAAAACTCCTTCAAATATAAAGGAAGTCATAAATAGTAAATGAAGACAGAATTATTCCCAACAAGGAAATTAACCCAGATAACTGATCTGTAGCTTACTCTAAAAAAAAAAGCTAGAACTTTTTGTACAAATAAGTAACTTCTGCAAAATTAAATTCTGAAACCATATATTTTCACGACTTTTCAAATAATCTGGAAAACAAGGTAACCTTTCTTGATAACTTAATTTCACATTATAATAATCAATTTTATACTGTTCTATAATAATGATACTCTCAGGTGCTACTAAAGGAAAAGGAAGTCAGTTTATCCCTATATTAAAGAGCTTGTACCTGTGGTAATACTAGCTTTTTTGCTAGTCTGTTATCAATATGTATTTAGAATTTCTCTCTTCTCCCTAGAGAGGCTATCGACAGTCATGGTTCTCTGCCTTGCTATCTATATTCCTACCTTTGGCACTCTCTCCCTTTCTAATTTGATTCTTCTGAACAAGTAACTCTTTTTTTTTAATTGAGATATAATTAAGACCTCAATTAAAACAACAATAGTTTCAGGTATAGTAACCAACTCTTACACAACAATATTTTATAATTGACATAGGACCTTCACACACATTACCTCATTCATTTCTCACAATACCCTTATAATATAGGGATTATCACTATTCCTATTTTATGGATGAGAAAATTGAGGCTCAGAAAGACTGAATAATTTATCTAAGGTCATAGAGCAGATAAACAGCAAAAGTGATCCCCATTGTCAATCTTTTCTTCTTTCACCACCAAATTGAACTGATAAAAACAAATTAAAGATTCAAAACTGGGGCCTATAAGAAAAAGAAGAAAAAAAAATGAGATGCATATGTATAAGCTCTGAAAAATTGTGGGCATTAATTAATACACAATTAGTTAGTTAAGAAACTTAGCCTACTTCTCTTTTCTTTGGCAACTGATGCTACCATAATTAAAAAAGAAAAAATCTAGATAAACAATCTACTATTATATTATGGCTGTTTCCAATTTCAAAAAACCTATGCACCAGTAACCAGCAATTCAAAACAAAATAGTAGCTCAAATCTGCAGTAAAATAAGGCTGCCATTTTCAGGGAAAATAATTTTTTCTTCAGTGGGAAGAAGAGGGTAAGGGGAGGATAGATGGTGATAGAAGGAGACTTGACTTGGGAGTGGTGAACACACAATACAATATACAGATGATGTATTACAGAACTGTACACCTGAAATCTATACACTTTTATTAAACAATGTCACCCCAATACATTCAAATAAATAAATGAATGGAAAAAATATTTTTCTTCAGCTTTAAACACAACAAAACAGACTAAAGAATATCTGCATTGAGCCCTGGCCAGTTTGGCTCAGCAGTTAGAGCATCATCCCATGGATCCAAGGGTTGCAGGTTCAATCCCAACCCTAACCATGTTGGAGACAGACAATCAATGTGTCACTCTCACATTGATGTTTCTCTCTCTCACCCTCCCTCCCTTCTACTCTATCTAAAAATCAATGGAAAAATATCTGAGGGTGAGGATTAACAGCAACAAAAAATAATAGAATATCTGTATTGAGTCACAAATAGATTTCCTTTTACTTTTCTCACAACTGCCTCCCCCTACAAAGAAAGTTGCTAGAGAACTCAAGGGGTTAATCTGATCCACCAATCAGTGTCCATTAAGAGTATTTTCCCAATAGCTCAGGCCCTTAGCAGAATCATGCAAACCATAGGCTTAGAACAACACCATTAACATTTTGGGTCAGATAATTCTATGTTGGGTGGGTAAGGTAGAATAGGTCCTGTTCACTGCAGGATGTTTATCAACATTTCTTGGCTAGGTGCCAAAAGCACCCCACCTTTGGTTGTAATAATGAAAAATGTTTTTAGACACTGCCAAATGTCCCTTGGAGGCAAAATCACTCCTGCTTGAGAACCACTGATTTAGATGTTAGGGCCCTGGGTCTTTGAAAAAGGAGGTCTCCAACCAGCCCTGTTAATTACAATTTTTGAAAATTAATTTTTTTAAATTTAATTTTAAAAAATAAGATGGTAATAGTTCACGAAGATACCCAAATAATATATATGCCATCCTCTCTGGATTAAACTATTTTTAGAGGATTTTGTAAAATGAATCTAATCTATATGTATACATTAGTCCTCCCTTATTGGGGAAATTTCCAGTTCTCTTCCTCCTCTGCTAGTAAAATGTCAAATATAGCACATACATACATGCATACATATATAAGAAACCTAAACAATTCTAACTTACAAATCCCCATTTCTTGCCCTTCATGGCCACATTGTGGTTCTTGGATCATGCATCCTGAAGATTCAAGTTTCTACTTTCCAGATTTCCTCATCTAGTTCCTGCCATCTATTTGTGAAGCAAGCAGGGGATAAGCTGATAACCTTTAAGGTCTTTTCCTACCTTAGTATCTTACTACTCTCAGCTTTTACTTATTGACAAAAATATTCTTTCAGCTTTTACTTCTTGACTCCTAGCTGACCAGACCACCTCTTAATATCACTGGAACCAATCATGCTAACTTTTTTCTTTCTCCACACGTTATATTAATCTATGTTGAATACAACCAAAGTGTCCATTGTTTAAAACATCGCTTAATACCAGTGACCAGTTGCTTATTCTGACACAAACAAAATATTTTAAACATGTAAATTGATTTTAAAACAAAAACTTTTCAAGCTAAGAGCTGATAACCATTTTTACAAATGAACTACAGAGTGAAATACTGAGGTGAAAAGTAGATCAGCGGTTGCCTAGGTCTGGTGTGTGTGTGTGGGGGGGGGTCGGATGCAGAGTAACTCCTAATGATGAGAAGTTTTCTTTTTGGGGTGATGAAAATGTTCTAGAATTATGGTAATGGTTGTACAACTTTGTAAATATACTAAACATCACTGGATTTTACACTTTAATTTTACTCAATAAAGTTGTTTGTAAAAAGCTAAAAGCAGGAAAAATTAGTTTATCAACTGTTATTGGCAGGAAATTGTGATTAAGAAGAAATTCTGCAAATTTTGCCATTTCATGAGTTATCAGATTTTATTTTAATTCTGAAATTATTAAAAACATAATACTTATCCAAAAATAAATGTTTACTTTTCTAGAAAACAAATATATGCAAATTTAAGCATCTTTTCCTAGTAAATTTTGGATGATTTGGAAGCAATGAAAAACATTTCAGAAAGCTAAATGCTACTGTAACAATACCTCTACAAGAACAAAATACATGAATATGGTCAACAACAAGAACAAAACATAAACAGTTTTTATAGTTTTTGTTGTGATACATTCTTTATAAAGAAAACCATTAAAATGTTTTCATTTCTTTTAAAAGTGATCCTCAGACTATAATGTCCATCCTGGTAATGTAGTAGTTCTGAAGTTACCAGAGCATAATTTAAAAATAGCCAAATCACATTAAATTGCAAACATCTAATCCTCAAAACCACAACTATCAAAATTTGCACATATTGATAATCATTACCCAAACCTATCATGAGCAGTGATGATCACTATGAACCATCAAGTAAATACCTATTGCTAGGAAATCAAACTACAATATAAATACAGTGAAACAAATCCTATCATTCTCTCTGATCTATCATAAATGCTCAGAAACGATTAAGGCTCTCAAAGTACTTTTCCAATTAAAACGCTCCATAGATTTATCAAAGTCAACCTGAATGTCCATAAAAATCTGCAATTTTCACAAAAACACACTTCTCAGTATACTATCATAATATCACTTGCCTTGTAAGCATTTATTATTAAGATTGCCCTGGGGTTTGACAAATCAAAAACAGGGCCAATTAAAAACAAAAACACTCCAAACATTTTAATTCTTCTCAAGTAAGGAGAGCCTCAATAAAGACCAAAAATTAAAGCTGGTTAAAGGGGAATATTTAAAAAATGCAACCCGCCTCGGCCAAAATTCTAAATATACCATCCTGAACTCAGCATATGGACAGACCAAGTGGTCATTTATAATGGGCAGTCAAAAGTTCCCTTGCCAACGAGGGGAGGCCTGCCTTTGTATCAAAGCAGAGATGGCAAGAAGCAGTACCGAAGAACATTAATTATTGAACAAAATACTGCGAGCTAAATAGTCAAACTGCAAAACAACGAATTATCCTTTGGGTTAGCCTTCCCCAGGAAGGAAGATGATATTTTAAATTTAAATAATTCCCGTAGCATCAAAAAGGGGGCTAAGGGCCCGGCTGTAAAATGAAAGTTTGGGGGCAGCACGTAAGGCGAGTGGTGAAGTTCCAGAGCCGGGATCGGGAGAGGGCGAGGACGCGTGAGGCCCCGGCGGGAGCTGGCGAGCACGGCTGCCGGCAGATCCGGGACGGGGAGTGAAAGAAAGAGGAGGTGGCCGAGAGGAGAATGGAGCTGCAGCGCGGGGCAGTTAGGACCGAAACTCTGCCGGCCTGGAGCCGGGGAGGAGACAGAGGGGGTGGGGTCTGGGTCCCTCTGTCCACAGGGGCGGTCGGGTGGAGGGTGGGCCGCGAAGCGCCGGGGGCCGAGCGGGGCCCGACGACCTACCTCCGGGTCTCGGGCAGCCGCCCCAGAGCGAGGCCTAGTGCATCGCCGCCGCCTCCAGCCCTCCACGTCGCGCCGAGACTGCTGCTCCGCGGCCGCCGCCGCCCGCAGCCCGCCCGGGCCCGAGCCCGGCTGCCCGCCGCCGCCCCGCGCCGGCTGGCCCGTCAGCCCGGGGAGCACAGGGCCGCCCTCTTGAGCCCAACTCCGCTCGGGGGTGAGAGGCGGCAGCGGCGGCTCCCTCACGTCTCTCCCGGGTGTCCTGTCAGCCAGCAGTTTCCCCCGGGTCCGCAGCGCCGCCTCCGCCGCTGCTGCCACCGCCTCTTCCACATCCCCAGCCTCCAGAGGAGCCGCCGCCGCGCCGCGACCACTGCCCTTAGCGCGTCTACTCCCTGCTCACTGCTTCCCCTCGCCCCGCCGACCCGCCTCGGCCCGGCTAGGTCGGGGGAGACAGCGCCGGAGGCCGCCGCCTGGCCGCCGCAGCCCCCAGCCCACAATCCACCGCGCGGCACCGCCGGGGCGGGAGGGCCGCGGCCCGGGCCGGGGGGAGCGCTCGCCGCCTCGGGAGAGGGGCTGCGGCGCTGGCGCGGCCGGCGGCCCCCGGGAGCGGGAGGTACCCCGCGCGGTTCCTCTGCACCTCCTCTCATAGCCCTGCACGCGAAGACAGAAACCCACGCCGAACTCTTCTTGTCCCCTCGACCCTTCCCCCTCCCGGAGTTGTTCTCAGGAGCACCCAGGTGCCGCCTGCCGCCTTCTGCCTTCCCTGGGGCTGCGCCCTCGCCCACCCCCCGGACCCTCCGACTCCAAGTCTCGAAATCACCCAGGACCCAGTAGATATTTCCACAATCTTCCACCTCTCCTTTCACCCCCCTCAAAGTGAACGCTGTTCAGAGTTTCCCTAATAAATATCCTTTGAAAGGTAAGAGCACACCCCCTCCTAACAACCCACTGGGCCCTGAAAACTGCATGGTGTGTATTTGGAGGCTCTCCCCCCACTGAGTCCTCTTTGTCCCCTAGTTCGGGCCTTCCTCCCAGACACCTATCACTCTTCTCTGGCACGGAAATCAGTTATTCCTGCTACTTGATGGAGATACTTGAAGTGTGTGTGTATTATTAATACCCCCTCATTGTGATTTTTAACAGTAATCCAATTCAGCCTGATTTCAGAGGGTTTGCCATCTTTAAAACAATAAAATACAATCCGCAAAAGAGGGAATATCTAGAATATTTTTTAAAAGAGAAAAAAG